TTTGTACAACTTCAAAAGTTTTTTTTCCTCAATTTTTCCCTCCATAACCTTATCACATTATCACTGATATTCCAAGCCATTGTTTGGAATGAGGCAATTGTTAGCTAAGATATATATTCCAAGAATGATGAGTTAACACTTTACTAATAAGATATACTGCCTGATGCAGGTTGTGCTTGGCAAAAGGCAACTTTTACAGGCGTCTCTATCGAAATTAACGACTTCCTGAGGAGGTAATTGGGTCATTTGATTTAGGTTTGTAGGAGCCTCTCTGCAACTGAAGGTTGCAGTGGTTCTCAGGAACTGACGATGTTTCTTTAGGGTTCTGTTTGAACGTAAAGCTGTACCTCATTTTTAAGTTTTATGCAGCCTCTAAAAATAATGGTAACACAATAAGAGTCCTCTTTGGATCCACTTTGATATCAATCAATCACGTTTGTTTGTATAGCACATTTCATCGAGGCAGTTCAAAGTTTTTCACATCATAAAAGTACAAAACTAAAAAGTCATAACGCGCAGTGACTGAAGAATTTTATTTCAGTGTGAAATGAATAAAGTATTTTTGACTTTGATTTCGCTCCGAAGTTGAGTCTTAAATTAAATGGGATTGAGTTTTCAAAAGATAAGTAGATGTTGAACTGCTGTACATGCAGAGGGTTTAAAGGTGGATCTTCAGCAGATCGTTTCTTCTCTGGGAACATCAGAGAAAAAGACAAACAACCTGAATTTCAACCTCCAATTAGAGAACGTCACAAAATACCTCATTTCATATGAGACTCTGCTTTATTTGAAGAATTTCATGTTTCCACCTCTCTTTCATACAACTTGACAACCAGATATTCCGACTTTAACAGCTGACATCAGATCACAAACATATTCCAGTCCTTAAAAATCTTCTGTTTGAGATTTCCATTTGTTCAGAGTTCGTCCAGGTGCCTCTCATGTTAATCTGTGAATCTTCTGATGTTTTTCAGCTGAAATTGGAACAAAACAGATGAGATTTGTTTCTTTCTAAATTCCCATCAGTCTCTCCAGCTCTCCTTCTTTTATCGATTTCAGTCTGAACTAAATTTGACCACTCTGCTTCAAAATGTCCTGCTGCCTTCATGAGCTATCATCGTGCTTCTGCTGTTTGGTGTTGAGTGCAGAGTTATTTTATCAGAACTGGAGTGGAGAGAAAAAAAAATGTCTTTGAAGAGCAAAAAGAGCGAACCAAAACTATGAAAGTACAAAGTTGCTTTCTCTGCTCCTAGTTTACTTAAATGCTCTCAAAAAGGCATATTTAAAGGAAGAAGTGTCTCCTGTGGAAAAAACTCATGACACGCTTTTGAAAAGAGGAACATTTTATGCAGTTTCCACAGAGTGCTCATTAGTGCGTCTGCTTCATTCACACTATTGACGATCCCATTCAGCCCTTGAAAAGCACAACTTTGAGTCCAAAAGGCAACATTTTAGCGCACAAAAATCTTGAGATTTCCTGAGCAGCACAATCTCCAACTGTTTTCTCTTTTGTCCTTGTAATCTCTTTCTCTTTCCCGCCTCTCCCTGCCTGTCCTCTCTCTCCGCCACCCTCTCTGCCATCTGTTAGCACGGGAGTCCCTCACCTCCCCGGCTCTGTTTTAGCATAATAACAGCACCTCGGTGGGAACTTAAGATGCAGGCACGCCGGGGCCAGCAGTTCACAAAGCGCTTCTTCAGCATGCACCAACCCGAACAAGCGAACAGGAAGACTCTCGTCAGCACAACCTCTGGTGCCAACTGAAGGCGACTTGGCATCATTTCTCTCCTTGCAGCAGCACTCTACCTTCAAGAAGGCCATTGTGTGCTTCAGCACACTGCTCGTCTATTTCCAGACCACTATCATCATTATCGTCACAAGCAATTACCCCTTGCAGATAGAACGGTGCACATTATGACTGGCAGACTGATTTGAATCTTGTTCAAAGTGTTAGTGAATCTCAGTCTTTGCCCCTGATTTCCGTAACCAGGCTTAAACACAAGTGATTACGGTTGCATTAATGAGTTTTTCCATCTCTGCACGTGTCTTTTAGCATAACAAATGCCCTACGAAATCATTCCCCCTCTCTTTGCCTCAAATTTGATTTTGAAGGGCCTCAGAAATCTATCAATATTTTGTTCCAGCTTGCGTGAGGTCTCCTAGGAACACTTAATTGAGTATATTTCCATAAAAGTGATTTAGGCTTGTTCACATGGGCTCCAGAGTGTTTCTGAAATGGAAGATAAGCAGTTTCTACACGACGTGTTATGCCTTTGTCTTGTAATAGCGCTCAGACAGTCAGGTTTCTTGATCACCTTCACTATGTGAGCGCCCTCCCTGCCCCGACAGCCACCTCCATTTCCTGGTCGTTAGCAGATGGTGGATTGTGCGACAGTGTGTAAACGGCTAATGTTCTCTTACTGAATTTGCAGGAGAGAAATACAATATGAGTGTTCACAAACTCATATGAATATGCATGCAGACCCGTTTTGATGCTGGTTCATCTGCAATTGGTTTCATTTAGAGGACAAAAGCTGCTGGCGGTGGATAATGAAACATTAGAAATTAGCCCCTGGTTTCCCACTGGTGCACTGACTGCTGACCTTATTTTAGCTACTTTATATCCCGCTAACCAATCCAAACAGATATATAGCAGCCCTGTAGCTGCTTCGGCATTGCTAGCCTTATTGCTCGAGCCAACGCTATTAATCTTCTTCCCTCTTTTCCCTCTGAGCGTGGCTACTGTTCACCCCAGTCCTGCTGGAAGTCAAGTATAGGTCATGGAAATGAATTTATGTTTAATGCAGCCATAATGGTTCAGTTGATTATCAGAGGCCTCTCCCTGTAAAGCATTTTGCCTTCTCGGAAGACAAAATGCTGCCTGTTGACTGTACTTCATTTAATCGTTCTGACCTCCACTTGGTTTTTATGGTTGGACTTTATACTGCATCATGTAGTTTCAATGTAAGGCAAACTGCACCAAATGTACACATTACAAACAACAACAGTTTATGTTTGTGTTTTCTTTTGTTCAAGTAGTCGGTAATTATGAAGGGGTAGAAAAAAAAAGACGAATTTCATAATTTCTGATGAATTTGAGAAACAGGGCGATTTCTATCAAGTCAATACCCAAGCCACGTTTGGAGTATGTCTGTGCCAGCTTCGCACATCTAGAAAGTTTTGCTCATATTTCTTTTCAATATTCCCACAGCATGACGCCACCATCTCTCTGTCTTACAGTGCTCCTGCACACACTGTCTTGCTTGCCAAAAAATTACATTTTTGTCTCTTCCACATGCTTGCACTGTCCTCTACATGACTTACTGCAGTTTTTTGACACAGCTCCTCAAGCCTTCCCGTCAGCCTTCTCTTGAAGTTTTAGAGCATATTTATTTAAAATCACCTTTTTTCATACAGGTAAATCTCTCTGAGACATGGTGTCTCATTTTCTAGAGTGATGTTTTTAATATACATTTAAAACCTTAGTCATCCGTGACTAATACCCATCCTGCTTACAAATTATCCTCACTGAGCTGTGGATCTGTAGGAGCTGAAGCTCCAGCTACCCTAGGCCTCCTGGCTGCTTCTCTGAATAATGCATATTTGCAGTAGTGCCATAATTTTCCTGTTAACAAATGATGGTCTGAACAATGCCCCAAGAATTGTCCAAAACTATTGTCTTATGTCCTAACTTTGCTTTAAAGCAAACTGTCCCTGACCTGTTGTGTTTCCGCTCTTCATAAAGTAGCTTAGCTGATCTTACCTCATAAATATTTCAGGGCTTTATAGAACAGCCGGATGTGGGCTCCGTTAACTAATTAAGCGACTTTAGAGGGCTAGTTGGGTCCCCTGGATCTTACTTGGGGTTTACCGAGACAAGGGAGCTGAATACAAATGGAAGCCACATTCTGTCAGCTTTTTATTGGTACATGTTGAAAATCAAGGCATTTTTCTGCCATTTGCAAATCCTCGACTGCTTTGTTTTGGTCTTTCACATTAAACTTTAATAAAATACATAGATGTCTGTGGCTCTAACATGAAGTATACATATTTTTGCAAGGCAAAAGTGTTTTAGCAGCAGATTCTGGGAAGCAAAGCCTCTTATCTCTGTTGGTGTATCACTTTACAGCTCTGTGCCACTCTGTTGACATTTCATGGGAGACTGAGTTTGTGCTTTCATACAGCATTGATCTGAGAGTTTACATGCAAATGAGATACACATAATTACAGTGCTATCTGTTTAGGACAGGGAGATCTGTGTTTATCGCACCAAAATCACTTTATTTATGGTAGGAGTCACCTTTTTCTGTCGTATCCAAAGTAAAGCAGGGAGCAGCTAATGTTAGTTACGCAAACTAAACTGGCCTCAAGCAAGGGAGTCGGCACTCTTCCGTTTCATTTTCAAGAGATACTTGAAAATGCCAATTAGTTCACTTTTTGTTCCATCTGCACTGTTTTAGTGTTTATACTCTATATTTTATACTATATTTTTTTATGTTCCTGTCACAAACGTCACTGTGCTTTTGGGATTTTATTTTATAGCTCAAGAGAGAATAGTACAGTTTTCAAGTGTGATTACAGTAGCATGAATTTAAAAGTTTTGTGTTAACAGTTCTGTGAATTTATGTTCATCCTTGTAATACGGAGAATCACCTTTTGTTGCATTACATCCGCAAGTCTTTCACGGTGTGTGTCTATGAGCTTTGCCAATTCTTCTTTGCAAAACAAGTTAAACTGATTTATTGAAGGTCATGAGTCTGGCTCAAAACTCTAACCACTGGATTTTACATCTGGACGGTGACCGGGCCATTCAGAAATATTTGTTGTTAAATCTGAGGAGTTAGAGTTAGAGTAATACTGCAATGCTCTTTAAGCACAAGATGGGATCCTACTTCAGATTTAAATGTGCAAAGAAAGTTCTCATTGGATTTGAGGAAGCTTCAAGTATCTTTTTTTTATCATTCATGTAATCAGTAACGTATTTGTGTTTGTTGTGTTTCAGGGACGTCGGCCGGGCTACTTCTCCTTCCTGGATCCCTTCTCCCCTGGCGTCTGGCTCTTCATGCTTCTGGCCTATTTGGCCGTCAGCTGCGTCCTCTTTCTAGTGGCCAGGTAAGGGTAAACTTGGTGTTTGTAGAGGAGGATGAGAGAAAAGAACAAGAGGAGAACAAAGAGTTGACTACAGAGCTTAAAAACAAAAAGACGACGAGTTGTTTGGGGGATACACAGAACAGGAAACAGGTGTCTGTTCCCTCACTTCTTTTAAGTTTTTGTGGTTGATCTGCAACACCACAGGGAAAGGAAACGGTCTGTCGTTCTAGCGACGGGTCGTTAGAACCACACTGCCACCTGCTGGCCAGGAAGAGTACTGTTAGATCTGCTGCTGAAACGTCACGACGAGATTAGATTGAACCTTATAAATTTCTTGGGAATTCAGTTTCCAGCAACAGTAGCCAAATAGAAAGTTCATCAATAAATATAAAAAGAGGCTAAATATTTGTAAAAAAAAAAAAAAAAAGGGTAAAGACCATGAAAGAATACAAACATAGCAACAACATCTTGATGATAAGGGTACCTTGATATACCTCAAACATCTTAAATGCATATACGTATGTCATTGTATAATTATTGTTAGATCTAGTAACAAAAGAAGTTTAAATTATTGTTGAATAACAAGGATAAGTGTCAGTGATCCCAGATCAGCTGGTTCATAAAACCTCTAGAGAGCTCTTGGTAAATGATATGCAGCACAAATTATAAAATAACCTGAGGTCTCCCATATAGCTTCCTAATTCAGTTGTTTTGGAGACAAATCACACAGTAGTTAAAATTTGAGCAAGATATCTGCAAATAATCTAATCTCTCAATGTTGCACACAACCGATTCTTCATGCGCGTCCCATGTTGCTTTGTGCATTCGAAATTCACAGCTGATTTCTCTGTTATTAAAGCGAGCTGCACTGTGGGGATTGAAAAGAAAGCTGTTTGTCTCTCTGGAGAGCCAAGGTGACTTTGTGCTCACTTTGTTGTTGCAATCTCTTTGCTCCTTGTCATTTGCTCCTCTTTATGTCTCAATATCTATGTGGCTCTTGGGTTTATTCACTCTGATTCATTCCTCCAGACTCTGAATGTTTATATAACCTCCACCTTCTCCTTTTTCCCCTGCAGACTGACGCCGTACGAATGGTACAACCCCCACCCCTGTCTGAAGGGACGCTGCAACTTGTTGATCAACCAGTACTCACTCGGCAACAGCTTCTGGTTCCCTGTTGGAGGATTCATGCAGCAGGGATCCACCATTGCTCCCAGAGCATTGTCAACACGTTGCGTCAGCGGAGTGTGGTTAGTACTGGCAATTTTTTCCAGCTTTCAAATCCGCAAATGTAACACGCGTTCAGCTCTGCTCTGACCTACTTTTGCTGCAACGTGAATTGCATTTCATCTTTTGTCTGTCCTTGCCACCACTTAAAGAATTGTTGTCGTTCTACTTTTTAAAAAGTGCAATCATGTCTTCAAAAATGTTTTACTATTTTTTTTGTGACGGCCGTAATACTGAAGCAGAACTTAAGACCTGAACTGTAGTGTTCAGAAAAAACCAAAGGATCAAATAAATGCCCCCTGTCTTATTCCATTAAGATTCCATTAACATGATCTTGTTTTTACAAACACATCATTTCCAAAAGCCTCATAGTTTGGGGGGGAGGGAGTTTCATTGTAACCGAATGCATATTTGTGAAATGGCAGAAAAAAATATGAATGTCTTTTGCAAATGTTTTGTAAATAAAACCTGAAAAGTGTGGCATGCATTTGTATTTAGCACACTGAAGTAAACCACCTTTGACTGCATAGATAAACTCGCTTTACTAAACAGCTGACGTCTGGGAGAATGTGAGTTTTATTTTCAACGCCAAGAAGAATTCAAATAAAACTAATTAAACTTTGCACTTGTTAAGCACCAAAACATAAAAAAGTTGTTTGACATTGGAATAATTTTGTGATGCACTACATAAAGTAGATACATAAAACTTTATGCATTACATAAAGTAGATGCATAAAAAAGTAGATAGATTGTACCTGGGAAAACAGGTACAATAAATTTGCATCAACATATTACAGAAATGACCCAGGAAATCCCACTGGAAGCAATAAAAGCTTCTCTTTGAAGTAAACTAATTACTTAATAAAGGTGGGAAATTATAGTGTACTGCTACAGTTAAAAGTGACAGTGAAACGTGAAAAATATATAAGGTTTGTGGTAGAGGCAATAAAGCATTAATACTACTGAAATGAAATGGATTTATTCACTGTAGAGTACTGCATATACATGAACATGTAAATAAATACAATTACACGTGAGTACATTTCAAGTAAATGAATGAAAATAAATGAAAAAAATGAATCAACCAGGAAAAGAAGAATGTTAGATATAAAGAGTCTATTCATTCCTATTGAAATCCCAGGTTTCTATAATGTTAAAACATGAGAATAGAACAAATAATTTCAGACATTTTACTATTTATAATAAGATTTACAACGTGTACATCTTAAGAGGATGACAAACTGAGAAACATTTGGAGAGGAAACATGGAAAAAATGCTACAATAATATGGTTACCTATGAAACAAGATGAGATGGACTTTATTGATCTCAGAATTGGTCGATTCATATGCATATGTGTGCTCAGTCTTATTTGTTGAAGCATCTTTTGATTTTATTATGAGCATTTGGCCTTGTGGGGAAGGACTTTATCTGCATGCCACATCTTGACTTGACAGCCTTTTCTGATCTTCCTCTTCTTTTCCAAAAGGCTCCACACTTGTCAAATCTCCTGTGCGCCGCCCTCTCACATCACACCACAGCTTTTCAATCAGATTCAGGTCCGGAGTCTTGCTGAGGGATTCAGAAACATTATTCTGCTTTTGACGAAGCTATCCTTCCGGTGGAGTGGATGCTTGATTTTGGTTGTGCAGTAAAATGAATTTCATTTCCAGCTTCATCCGCAAGCATAAAAGTTCTCCACATACATTAACTATTTGGAGCGGTTCATAACAATCCCTTCAACACCTTCCAACTTTGTCCCAAAAGCCAGATGAAGAAGCCAAACTTGCCCAAAGCATGATACTACTACCACTATGCTTCATCATGGGTGTGGTGGTCTTTTAATATTGTATTGTTTTTCTACATTACTTTTTGAAATTTTGGGCAAAAAGTCCAACACATCAGAACAGAACACACTATCACGGCTCCGTTTGAAATTATAGCTGGGAAGCATTTTTCACTTTGTTTTGGGGTGATAAAATTGTAGGACGTTGTCATCGCATGTATTACAGAGCGCAACAATTTCTACAACTGCATTGCAGCTGAATAATGGAGTAACAACCTGTTCTTGGTGAAGTGGTGACGTTTTACACTTACTGTATTTGAAACCTTCTGAAAAATTGGACTGTTCATCACTGAATCTTAATCTGTCTGTATGAGCATGTTGTATTGGTGTGAGCTACTTTTATTAGATCACATATATATCTAATCCGTTTGTCTTTTAAACTGGCTGTTGACATGAGGGCAACTGAACTGAATTGATCAGAAATAAATTGAAGGACAGATAAACTACATTTACAGTAAACGTCCCTCCTTTTGCAGTGATGTTTAAACAATCCAGTTTGTTCAGTTTATTTTGTCCCAGAGAGCAAAAACTTAAATTCTTTAGTTTCCTGACAAAGTGAAATAATTTGTGTTGTTTTCTGTTTTTATTTTTGTTTGTTTCAAGCATTTTTCTCTGATTTGGGTCGGCTCTGGTATGTTTACTCCAGAGTTTCAGGACGTCAGTTTTCAAAAACCTCTTGCGCATTTGAGACACTGTCTTTCTTTTCATGTCTGCTTTTGCATCCTATCCCACCATTGCCCCAGTTCTCCATCCATTTCCACCGACCCCCTTCATCCATCCAGCACCTCACCCACCGTGAAACCTCCTGCCGTGTTTTCTCCTCTCAGGTGTGGAGTTTATTTTAATCTTCCCACACTTCCACCACAATAATTTATCTTCATATAGCAGTCTGCTTTTGCATAAATTCATAGATGGATACATATGTTCTTTATCTCTGCCCTCCTCCACAGGTGGGCCTTTACATTAATCATCATCTCCTCGTACACCGCCAACTTGGCCGCCTTCCTGACTGTTCAAAGGATGGAGGTGCCAATAGAGTCAGTGGATGACCTGGCGGATCAGACAGCGATAGAGTACGGCACCATGCATGGAGGATCCACTATGACTTTCTTCATGGTGAGAGCTCATATTATAATAGCTTTTCTTTTAAAGACATAATTTCCAGTCGAGGGGTCAGATAGGCATCAGTCTGATCCTGAGGTGGCTGCTTTTAATTTTGAGCGTTTCCTTTTTTGCAGTGGATAGCTTGTACAATTTACAACTTCAAAGATGTTTAAAGGTAATAATTAGGTGCACAAGTTCCCATGTGAATTACTTGTGGATTTTTTTGCCAGCCACCAAATTGATGGATTTCATGGCACAAACTTAGCTTTAAGTTCAGATACTTTAAGTACAGTTGAATTCAATGGCTTCAGAAGGCCAAATTTGATCAATAATTTATTGATCTCTTTTGTATCATTGTCATGTTGAAACATTAAATTACATAGAAGTTGTCATATTGCTCAGATTGGTTGAAAATAGATGGGAAATTAAGGACATCCCAGGAATCACTACGGATGAACTGGAAGCTGATGAAAAATCAGTGAATCAGATTTTTACCAAATTTTGATTTGGTAAAAATTAGCGAAGGAGTTTTGCATTTCCACGGACGAACAACAATCCCCTGCACCAAATTTTACATCTTCAAGTTCAATTTAAATCTATTTACTAGTCCTAATAAATAGTATTTTTGCGAGAACCGGCCAAATTGAATAAACCAAAACTGAAACATTTAGTTCATCTCGATTGATAGCTGAAAAAATAATGTTGCTAAAAAGCACTCAGTTTTATCTAAACACATTGCGGGTGTGTATGTGTGCATTTGTTTCTTCTTTATGCATATTTTCACTTGAGAAAATCCAAAATAAGTTCAAATTTGAAGTATTTTTTCTGAAATCCGTTTTATTTTTTCTTTGCGTTCTTATTTATATATTTAATAAATAATGAATAACCAACATTAACTATAAAATCTGAAACATGCACATGAAAACTAGGTGTGAACTTGTCATTTTAACTTTGAGATTGCTCTGACTTCCAAAACTCTTGAGATCAATAAGTCAGACAGTAAGAGTTTGGATCCTCCTCATCACCTGCTTGTCTTTCTCCTTTTACTATAAGTTTTATTTCTGTCCTGCCTGCCCACTCCGCCATCCAATATCCTCCTCCTCAAGGAGTCAGTCAGCTGTCCAAATCCCATTCCAACCTCTTTCATCTGCTGCATATTTTGACCTCAGAGAGAGACAGAAAAAGACACTAACAGTGAAGGACTGTGTTATAGAGGAGAAAGGAGACATTAGTCCTCCTCTCCTTGATGCTTTTACACTTACTGGACCCTGAATAACTCAGGGCAAAACCGGTTAAGAGCACATGTAAGAAAGGCAGTGATATCATTTGAAGTCTTTGGTCTAAAATCTGTAGATACTCAAATTGAAACTCGTTTGCGGCCGAAGGAGGAAAAAAAAAAAAAAACACAAGCAACTAAAAAAAAAGCAGACAAAGCAGAATCACTGAATCGGAGTTTGAATAAATCCATCAGTCAAGAAAATGAAAAGGGAAAACAAATAAAAACTCATCTCCACATCAGCAAAGGCAGAAAATGTTTATCTGCAGCTAATAAACCTTTGCCGCCTGACTTCTGCAGCTGACTGTTTGTTTATTCTGATCCGATCTCGCCCTGGTGCCGCCTTGCAGAACTCTCGCTACCAGACCTACCAGCGCATGTGGAACTTCATGTACTCTAAGCAGCCCAGCGTGTTCGTGAAGAGCACAGAGGAGGGCATCGCTCGGGTTCTGAACTCCAACTACGCCTACTTGCTGGAGAGCACCATGAATGAGTACTACCGCCAGAGGAACTGCAACCTGACTCAAATTGGAGGACTGCTCGACACCAAGGGCTACGGCATCGGCATGCCACTGGGTGAGAGGGGAACGGTGGGAGGGAGAGACATCGCAAATGAGAGCAAGCCGACATTTATTGGTGGAGTAAAAGGAGAAGGAGGTTTGGCGTAAAATGACAACTTCAGAGGCTGAGGCTGATAGTTTCACCTAAATGTGCTGTAAAATTCACTGTGAAGCCTAGAAAAGGAAAAAGAAGAATAGGAGCATTAGTTGAAGAATGCACCATAAGCGTTGCATTGGAGGGTTAAATTGAAAAGTAAAGCTCCTACATAGCAAAACAATTGGCTCCTATTTTTGGACAAAGTGATGCAAAAAGTGTGAAATGAGCAAGACCTTCAGCCGGGCTTTTACAGAACAGTTTCTTTGCTAAGGTGAGACAGGAAGGGAGTTTAAAGTATCGTTCCAAATAAATGTTTCTGAGAATTTAGAAACGATTTTATTTGTACTTTGATCTCCTGCAGCATGAAAAAGAATATGTCTTCAGTAAATAAGATTTGAAATCTTTTGATGTCTACAAGATAAAAATTCAGTCTTTCTGTGGATTAGATTTTATACCTGACACTGGACATGCACTGTGAAATCAATTTCAGGTATTTGATCTTAAATCTGAACAACTCCTTCTGAATTCAACATTCATGTTTCACACTAAACTCTATAGCAAAAATGCTCTTTAGATCAGACTCTGATCTGAGTCTGATTTCCATCATTAGCCTTCGGGCAGGTGCTATTAACACAGCATACAAACACAAAGATCCATTAAGCAGGAATGCAAATACTGCCAGTTAAGGAGGAAAACATTAATGAAGATAAATGAAAGGTGCCAATTTTCAAAAAGAACAGTACAAACATCCTGACATTTGTCAAACCTTTGGAGAACCAAATCCTAGCATCAGAAGTACCAGTAATTCTGCAACAGATATAAAAGTAGAAATACTTAAAAATAGTTCATTTATAAAAGGTATGCAAGTGTTTTAATCTGCAGCCTTTTTGGAGAAGTTCGATGCACACATAATAAGTGTTATCATAAGTATTTTTATTAGTAATGTCCTACTCAAGATACTAATTAAAGCATTGTAGGATCAAGAATTGGGTGATATTGAATACCATTCCTGTTAAAACTAGTAAAATATCAAGTACAGTAAGGTGATTTTGCTCACTCGCTATTTCATGACGCTGTGTTTTCTGTTTTTCTTGATATCAGAAACTCTTGTCCCATTACATTGTTAACGAGTTTAAGGTTCTACAGCAGAGTAAAGAAATCAACACCTGTGCTGACAGTGCACTCCCACAACTCCTGAAACAGATGATAATGTTTTCCCAGTCAGTCTGCGTCACACAGTCACTGGCCTCTTGGTGCTGGTGTTCAGCCCACTGGAGTTTGTTTGGATGGTAGAATATCCACTGGATGTAATTTCTTTACATTTAAACACTTCAATAAGACGTTATGCATCCATCATGACTCATTTGGACACGGACAAATTGTGTCAGCGCAGCAACATGTTATGTGTTTGATGAAACTACGTAAGGAGAAGATCTGCCTTCACTTCTGGTTTCAGAATTGGGTGCACACACAGACGAAGGTTTGACCACATTTAGTACAAGCAAATAGGTTTGCTAAAATTAAGTCTTTAGTCGACTCATGCCTTGCTCCTGCTCACCAAGTTTTCATGCAACTCAATTTGCCAAATTGTTCGGCTAACGTTTTTCTCTCCATTTTGGTACAAATTGCTGAAAATGCAGCTTGTAGTAAAATTCAGTGCCATTCCAGTGAGCTGTGTGAGGATAAATTTAGCATTTTTTAAAAAACTTTATATTTAATAATAAAAGTTTTAGTTATGCTCTGCACAGCTGTCTGCAAATGGACAGCTGTCTGAGAACAGCACAAAGAGCAGCCAATGTAACAAAGATGGACAGGAATCTTAGTCAGCCATGGAGCGTCTTTTACCGCAAACATAAATGTAAGGTGAAAATTATAGATTTTACAGATCAGTAAAGTAGCATGAATGGTCGATTACAGTTTTACAAGTCTGATTTAATTTCAGACGGTAATTAAAATATCTGCTATCTGTCTTTTAAAGGGTATGTATATACCTAGTTTCACTTTTTATGAGCAAAAAAATGAATGGGATAATGAAACCACAGTTAAAAGGAAAAAAAATGCATATCAGTTAAGTTCGTCAGGGTTTTCTGACGTATAAGCTACAAGTGGAAGATGCATTGAGTTCTTCTCTTTGCAATCTGCTATATTACTGTTCCAGAAAGGACCTTCTCCCTTTCAGCTGAAGGAGTAGGAGAGGCGGCGTATAATCAGCTGATTGCAATCTGAAATTTATGCCACTAGGTGTGAGAGCCGTCGCGACAATGAGCCTTTAGAAAAAAAACGGGGACCGACGCAGGATTATTCAGTCAAAAGGCCTGCCTCTGATTTTATCTACAAATTAACTGCCAAACCAACTTCAGCCACACAGACATAGGCTTGTGTGAAAATATGATTATGTTCTGTATCGTAAAGTTCTGCAGGTTTCAGAAACTTTTAAGCATCCAATGTAAGAAACTTTTCCTGTTCTGCCTTCTCTCCGTCCTCCAGGGTCAGTGTACCGCGATGAGTTTGACCTCGCCATCCTCAAACTTCAGGAGGACAATCGTTTGGAGATTCTCAAGAGGTTTTGGTGGGAGGGTGGCAAGTGTCCAAAGGAGGAGGACCACCGGGCCAAAGGTTGAATTTTTCTTTTGAGGGCAATCCTCAGTGTCATCATCCCTCGTTCCCATTTCCTCAGGTCTGGGTATGGAGAACATCGGCGGGATCTTCGTGGTGCTCGTGTGCGGCCTGCTGGTAGCAATCTTCATGGCTGTGCTGGAGTTTGTTTGGATGTTAAAACAGGCCCCAGGGAATGAGGTGGGAAAAGCTTATTTGACCTTGACATACTTTGCTTCCTTCCCCTGAGAAGGGCCGTGAGGTTTTACATTAACGAGTAGCATCTATTCTTCCCGTCTGAGGTCATTGCATTAATAATCGGCTGTCAGTGCAGGTATCTGGCCTTTTTTAAGGAATATTTTTAAAGTGTACAGTGATGAAGCATTTCCTCATGCATGGGAGGATAAATTAAAGTTATACTTCTGACCTTAGAAGCTTATTTGCTTCTAAGGTCTGGAAAGAGGCTTGGAAAACATTCATTTCCAAATGTGAATCGTTTATGCCTTGAAGTATTAATGGACTCAGACCAGTATGGAGTTTTATGTCTGTTCCTTTGCCCAGAAACCTTTGCATTCACTCTGAGAAGCACTGTGCAGCTGTATAAACCTCTTTGTACTTCTCAGATGTTTTCAAGTAGCACCCATAAACTTTACTGTATTTTATTGGGATTTATGGGGACAGAACAACAGCATCTGGTTGTAAAGTGGATTTAAAACTGAAGTGAAGAGGAAAAACCATTTTTACAAATTACAACATAAAAATAAAATGTTTGATGTATTTGTATTAAGTCCTCCTCGCTCAATGCTTTGATGCAACAACAGCTGCAATTTCTTTTTCTCTTTCAGATTTTCATATTACAATGCTAAAAAAAATTGCCCTTTGATATTTGCTAAATAACTGTGTGCGTCCTGTCTCCCGCATTAAACTCTAATAAAATAGTTTGAAGTTTTAGTTTAATGCTAAATATTTTAAAAAAAGTCCACTGCCACCAAACTGGTGGGGAACTATTATTGATGTGTGGATGTCAGAAGTAACTAACATTAATTTGTAGTATAAATGTGTTGTGATTCTTTTTATTTGTTGCTGCTAACCAGTCATAAGGATAACCATAAAACCTGTGTGTGTTCTGTGTGTCCGTGACGTCCGTCAGTCTCTCCTTACCGAGTCAGTCAGTCAGTGACTTGTCTGGCCTCTCTCCATTTCTCTTCCTCTCTCTTATCCCCCCTCTACCCTTTTCTCTTTTCTTCCCTCCCCTTCTCGTGTGCGCACGCAGCAGTCAGTGTGTGAGGAGATGCTGCGGGAGCTGCACGGGATCGTGTTGTGTCGCGACAGCCTGCAGGTGAGGCGCCGGCGGGCGGCGTCTCTGATGCGGCCGCGACCTTTGCCCCTGGAGGAACGTCGAGCGCGAGCCGCCGCCGTCAGCCTCAGCAATGGCAAACTGTGCGCAGGCACTGGCCTCCCCGAGCCGCTCTCCCACAGACTGGCGCAGGAGGCCGCCCTGGTGGCCAGGGGCTGCAGCCACATCCGGATTTGCCCCGAGTGCAGACGCTTCCAGGGACTGAGGATGCGTCCCGCCGGGGCCGGCGAGGCCCTGCCCTCTCCCACGCACAGCGAGGAGAGCATAGAGTGGGACAAAACCACAAATAGCAGTGAACCTGAATAACACTAGGAAAATCCAGTCAGACTGACTTTTCCAACATACACCTCTCTCTTTTTTCCAGGGATCAAAGACCATGTGGTATTTTTATCCAGCCATTCTGAGCTTGTTCTTGAAAAGCAGGACAATGCTGCAGACTTTGTTTTGCCCTTGAAGCAACAGCCTAAAGTCAGATTTTGAAATGTTTTTGGATGATTTTTGTTTTCCTTGGTCAGAGGAAAAAGAACTGATGAGCGTGTCTCATTGCGGTCTGTCCCTGGAGGCCCTTTGTACCCTGTGAAGCAGGACAGACAAAAACAGCTATGGGGCATTTGTACTATGCAGTATTTCCAGTCATTTATCATTGTGCGGTTCTTTTTTTTATATTTCTGTCCTCTGTTTGATTATTATAACTAAATATTGTTATTCTATTCTTAAAAAAAAAAATAAACCACTTGTGATGGCTGAGGAATCCAATGTGCTGCAAAGGAGAAGGAGGTTAAAGCAAAGTTATCCTTTAAACCTTTTTCTTTTAAAAGTGCCAAACCATGAGTGTTTCCTTGTGGCTAAACGAAGCACCACGGCCTTCAGAAAATAAACAAATCCAGCTGAACCAAGGAAATAAACATGCAGACACACGTCAGCTTGTATTGTAGTGACACTATTCTATAAAATAGAATAAAATAACTGTTGATATCCCTGAAAGACAGCGAAGCGCGGCATTGGTGGGAGGTCAAATCAATCGCATTCTGATCAAAATATAAGGTGGTGACAGAGGTTCAACATTTTTTAGAGAGCTGTCCATCTATTTCCGACTTTCTTATGCTGCTAACACTCTTTATTGTCTCAGCACATACAGTGGTGTCTTTACAAGTGCTTTTTTTTGCAGAGCTACAAACATGAAGAAAGTTTTTTGCTTACGTATTGGGTTGGAGGGTGTTTTTCTACACTGTGCAGTAAAAAGGAATCTGCATTTTGTTAGGCTTAAATGGTTCAGATCAATTAAAAAAACTGAATATCAGTCAAAAGTAAATTGAGACAATAAAGAATGTAGTTTTAAAGTAGTGATTTAATTCATTCTCCCGATACCAACATTGTCTTATTTGAAGCTGTCACTGTCGCTCTTGTTAAATCATGAAATAAGTTTGATTTCATTGAGTAAGTGCAGACTAGTGGCAGCCTGATCACTGCTTGTCCTGTGCAATAGAGAAGTCATGTAACTTCCACCTGTCTGACAACATGAAGTAGTCCAAAGGACCTGAAAAAAAACAACACACCATCTTATGATCTACAGAAATTCAGGAGCAAAAGAGAAACAAAGGAATGAATACCCATCAGTGTCAAAAATATATTTGAAAAATTATATTTAAGATTTTTGGAACCACAATCAGTAAAACAGAAAACTTGGAACAACAGTGAAATATTTTGAAGAAGCAACATTGAAGAAGTCCAGGCCTCACTTTCCCCAGTGAGAGAGAGACACAGAGAGAGAGACAGACAGAGAGAAAGAAAGACAAAGAGAGAAGGAGACACAGAAAGAGAGAGAGTTTGAGAGAGAGACAAAGAGACAGAGACAGAGAGAGGTGAGATAATAACAACATCCAAGGGCGAGTACCAAGGGGAAAACAGCAGCAGGCAGAAAGGAAAAATAAATATCATCTTCATGATCCCAGAAACGTTTTGGAAAATGTTCTGTGGATTTACGAGGCAAAAGTAGTTTCTTAAAAGGTGTGTGTCGTTAAAACTAACAGCATTTCAGAAAAGAACATCATGCACACGATATTTAAATATGGTTGCCTTGTTTTGCAGCTGGTTTGCTGCTTCAGGACTTGGGACGACTTGCCATTATTGATGGAACCACGAATTCAGAGAGTATCTGGTTGTGGATTTGTGATAGCTAGCTCAAGGACTTGGGTTTTTAACTGGCTTAAAACATGTTTTTAAAGTCTTGGCGTGGAGCAGTCTAATTAAAACTGAGCTTAAACCTGAGTGAGACGCTGTTGGATATGAATAGGACATCAGGCTTGAATACCTATTAGTTTGGCTGAATTAAATTAAGAAAAGTTGTCCAAAATTCATCTAATGTGATGTAATCAGTTACATCCGGCTGTTCCACCAAGGCTGATGGCAAAACTAGACATTAGGTTTATAAAGAATCATTTCAAAGCAACAATGTAACATGGGGTTGAGTAATATTATTGTGTCAATGCTATGACATTTCTGCAGCATTTTCGTTACATTTTGTACCAATAGCATCTGTTTAAAATTGATTTATGCTTCTCTGAGTTAAATTATAAAAGAGGCAACTTGACTTAGCTGTAGATCAAATGGCATAGAACGGTAATGTTATCCTTAAAGATGTATAATCTTTGTACATTCTTTGTACAAATGCAAGGAGCATATGTGATGGAGGCAGTAAGGCATTTTTCTAGTGCTACTTTTCTGCAGATGTTGTTTTCCGCAGCATCTATGGAGTAAAAATTACTTGTTTTTAGTTTTATCCCAAAAAATGGCTCTGCTAGGGAGGTGGGATCATCCTGAGATGATCCAACCTCCCAAACAGCATTTTGGATTCAGACCATTCGGTATTTTGGACTAAAACGATTATTTATTTATTTTTTTGCATTTATCACAGTTCAAACTTTTTCAGGGGACTGAAGATGTGAGAATGTCGAACAGCATTTATTCGCAGAGGTGCAACGAAAACCTCCACAGCGCCCCTGGAATGTGGGACAGTTTTGGTACTTGTTGCTTAAATTTTATTAAACATTTGTTAATGGAGCAAAATTATTTTTAAAGTTTTATTCCATTGGGAGAAGCTTGGAATGATTTTGCCAAAGTTATAGATTCAAGACATGAACGAACCAGTTCTATATATATATATATATATATATATATATATATATATATATATATATATATATATATATATATATATATATATATATATATATATATACACACACACCACAGGACCACATGAGCCGCCTTTTAGAGTTAACAATCCCTGGGAGATTTAAGGTTGAGGGTAATTTAGTTCTGGAGACAAAAACGTTCAGGTCGGCATCATGGAAATATCCCTCTAGTGCCACAACATTTTTGATTAGTTCCTCATTTTATTAGATTTCCACAACAGTTCTTATAAATACCTGCCGGTAATGAACACAGTTTTTGTTCCGCACATGCTGAATGAAATCAGGTCCCGTTTTCTGCTGTTGAAATCACCATTCTTTTATTTCTGCCTTCATATGAAACTATTGACCAACCAAAAAGCTCTTGTCAAAGAAGCTTTTACTGCAGCAGTTTTTTTCTTTTAAGTGTTAAACCGTTGGCGCTTTTGTTGAATGTGCAGTTTTACGAGCCCCTTAGAGAAGTATTTTGCTTCTGATGTGTTTTGACATTTTTCATACTTTATTGAAGCTGCAGAAGCAGAAAAAAGTCATTTGTTCTTTGGAATGAGTGACTTGGGGAAATATAAACAATGATTCAGTCACTTTTCTTTCCCTTTCCAAAGAGTTTGATGGCAGAAAAGAATTAAATAAAAATCTTAATTAATCACACCAACAGTTTGCCGTGTTAATCCCTAAATATCAATTTGAAAATCATTTATAAATGTCTGTTGGAATAACATTTGCCCATTTGCATTTTACTACAAATGAATCCAGGAGGACTCTTAGTTATTATGGGAGTTTAGTCGCTGCTTTGTGATAACCTCACTGAACCAGAGGGCAGACGGCTGCCTGTCCTTATCGCTGATGTGCCGTCACTTTACATCAGCACCTCCCATCTGTCAATCACCCTCATGCCATGTTGTGAGAAATTTTGCAGATTTTTTTTCCCCCTGATTATCTCAAATAATTCAAATCCTCGAACGCATTTTACCACCAGACAAAGATAAACCATTTTAATGCAAGATGTTTTCAAAGTGCTTTTTTGTTTGAAGGAAAAAAGAAAAAAAAAAAAGGCTTTATCTAAACCGGGCTAAGAGGTAACCCTCTTTGGTTGAGTGGTGCTTAAATTGTTGCTAACCAAACATCGTTTTGGAAAGCTGAGTTCATTTAAACTAGTCCTGTCCAAGCCTGCCAGATCTGCAGAACCAAGAAATGTCTTAAATAGAACCTGTCTGACATCATACAGGCAACACGACAATCAGTCTGGATAGATCCAATGAATCACAAAAACATTATTATTTTCTTTTGTTTTACAAATTAAGAAGCACAGTGATGAACCTTCCCAGAAGAGGCTGACCTCCCCAAACTACTCAAAGAGGACATTAAAAACTCATCCAGAAGGTCAGAAAAGCTCCCTGACCTAATTTGATTAATCTGCTCTGGTATGTCCTCAAACCGACAGTTTAAGGTTGAATCAATCCCTCAATGTGCCTGAATTCAAACAATTTAAAGAGGAGAGCTATTAGGCTTAGGGTGCAATTATTTTACCAGTGAGCGGTGCTTGGATTGCTGTTTTAAGTTCATAAATGGAATCGTTGCTTGAAAACAGTTTGTATTTATTCAGGTTTTCTTTGTCTGATGACAAAATTAGTTTTAGCTTTTGAAATATTTCGGCCCGTAAGGGTTCAAATCTTTTCACGGCACGGCAAGATGCCATTTCACGACAGCTTTAAATGAAGGTGCAGCATTCGCCTCTCTGTCACTTCAAGCCTCCATCTTGTCAGAATTTCCTCTCCTCCTTCAGAGCAAGCAAGAGAAACATGGTTCATTTCACGAAACATCTGTCAGGTTCAAATGTCTCTTTGTGGTTTTTTTATGCACATTATCTGTCCATGATCTGCTCCGGTGTATTTTTTTTTTTTTTCATTCAAACAACCCGGCTCACAAAAGTTATGTAAATATAGTGTAATCAGTGAAGTTCCTGGTAAACGTCTATTGTGGGGTTTTTTTTTCCAAGAGTAATTATTGTTTTGACGTTTATTGTATTAATGGAGCAGCATTGTACACTCTTGTGTTTTGTTTGTTTGTTTGTTTGTTTTTAATTACTGGAACCTTTCTCATGGACAGCTACATTAATTAGTTTAATGAAGAAAGAAAATCCCAAGTGTCCAAATGTGTACATTTCTTTGACCGTTTAGCCAAATTAATGAGTCTGTGCCAGAGAAGAGAAGACCCAAATTTTATAAAGGTCTATAAGAGCCGTTTTCATCCACTTGCTGAATGTTTCTAAGAAGCAGCTGAGAGTGCGAAGGCTCTTTCTGCTCTCAATGCAAACTTCTTAAATGCTGAAAACATTTACAGAGGTGCTAAATCAAGCGTAGTGGGAATGAGATTGCCAATTACCTTGAAGGCACGGAGAGCAGTGGAGTACGAATTAAAACAAATCCCACCGAGACTCTGGGCGACCTTCTCTGGGAGAGAGCTGGCACTGTTTGTGCTTCTATATTTTATATGCTTTATTTTTTTATGTTGACATTTTATTTCATTATAAATACATTTCTGGAAACTACGTCCATTCTCTGGGCTTCTGGTTTGTCTCGTTTGTGCTCTGATGGATTTGACCTCAGCAGCTGTTTAGATCTGTCACGCTGACAGCCTCCTGAGTGCACTGTTTTGTTTTGGGGTTTTTTTGTTTTGTTTTCTTTTATACAGAGCCTTTCTAAAACTATGCAATGAGAAAACCCACTAAACGTTTTTCACATTTTGTCACATTACAACCACAAGCTTTAGTGTGTCTCTGGGTGACTTTCTGTGATACATCAGTGCAAGCATCTCATAATTACAAAGTGGAAGAGCAATGATTCAAGTTTATTATTATTATTTACAAATAAAAACCACACAGCATAGCTTTCATACGTGTTCACCCCCACGTACTCTGATATTCCTAAATAAAATCCAGTGCAACCAGCTGCTTTTAGAAATTAACTGTAATTGTTAAATAGCTTGAAATTGTGATTGTGAATATTCATTTTTACCGAACTGTATTTTGAACGAAACCTGTCAGTGTATGTTCAGGGTCCTGCTGAAAGATGAACCTCTGCTCCAATCTAACAATGTTCGACAGCATTGCCTTCATTTAGCACCATCAATCCTCCCAACATGAAAATATTTAGCTTGATAATTATATTTTTAGTTCTAAACTGTCAAGGGGGAGACCACACATACACGGCACGCGTTTCAGGAACGCAGTATCACGGGTGCTGTGGTGCAGAGGCAAAGCACCATCTGTGTATTGAGGCCCTAGTCCTCGTGGTGGTGGTCGCAGGTTCAATTCCCTGCCTGGCAACACTTGCCGCCTCTCTTATTACCCTGTTTCCTGTCGATCTACTTTCAAATAAAGGCCAATAGAGCCAAGAAAACATTTTAAAAAAGAAACCCGGTTTCACTTTGCTCCAAATGAAACACTTATTTGTGTTTTTGTCACACACACACAAAAAAAAATCCACTGTGAAATCCTTCAGGCTTTGTAGTTGTAAGATGACAAAATGTGAACCGGCTCAGGGAGTTTCTGCACTCTGGCAGGACACTGTGAGCACGAGGAGGTGGGCCGAGTTAGAACCAGAACAGAACCAGAAGCGCCTTCCTCTCTTCTCTCTCCCAGAGCCCGGTTAGCATCGGCGCACTCCAGAATCCTTTGAGCAGCTGACAATTTGTGTGGGCAGGGAGTCTTAACACAGACTAATGAGTTTAACAACTCATCTGTGATTTAAGCATCCACCGGCTTGTAGTTCATCTGCCGCCGTGATTTTCAGCTGATATTCTGGTCTCCTCTGAACCATCAGACTTACACTTTAATTCAGACTGCTCCTTTTGTCTTGCCTGCATCCGACACTCTGTATTCCAGCAATGCAGATGAAAAGTTGTGTCCAGTGCATCATCAGCCTGTCACGTTGCTTATCTACAGCATTCACAGGGCAGCGTGAGCCTTTAAGCTCCGACACACACAAATACTCGCCTCTTCCTGCATGTCACCGTCACGTCAGGTTTATATCGCTGTGCTTCTTCTGCCTCTGGTGATTTAGCTCCATAAATAAAATGCATCTATTTGCTCACTGCTTCCTGCCGCCTCCTGCTGCTGCTGCTGCTGCCGGATTTATGGAGGCCGTGATGAGCACTGAGAGCCTGAAGAGATGTGTGTAAAAAGGTGCTTCTCTCCTCAAGCCTGCAGCTTGTTGCATATCTACACCGGTTACCCCATGTCTAATAGTTATTATGCAAGGACTTAAGAGATACCGCGCTCTGACTTTAATGTATTTTATCATGCCCGAAGCACCCCGAACAAATATCAGCGTCCCTCGGGGAACAGATTTGCAGGGTGCAGCTTGCCACAGTTCCAGCTGTTTCAAACTTTTCAGAATGTTGCTCAGACTGTCGATATGAACAACTTTAGGTAAGTAGTTGGTTGAGATATTTATGGTTGACAAAGTCAGCTGTTGGATGACAATTAGTGCCACTGCTGTAAATAATTGTTTTGATGTTTGAAGAGGTCATGATGCCACGGGCTGCGTCAAAGTTCCCTCATCGTTTCTGAAGAGAAACAAAAGTATGGCAGATCCTGCATGATATTCAACAGAGGATTTGAGACATTTTACTCAAATTAATGTTATTTGAAACAAGACCCACCTAAAAGCTAAATGTCTCCTTTTTGAAGAATATATTCTTTACATATTTAGTAAAACTGTCACTATGTCATGACACAGGTGAAAAAAACAAAACCAAGCTCCCTCTCCAAGTGCAAATTTCAGAAATGCACAACTCGGTCAGAAACAACCAATCAGAGTCAGCTTGAGGATCTTAGCGCTGACAATCAAGCTCATGTACACACTTCTAAGCTATCGCATCTTCCTGATAGCAGAGCATGCCATGAATGCTCGGGCTAGTTAGCATGGCCACTGACA